TCTCTCGCTTGTGAGGCAAATGCTCTAACCAGTGAGCTACAGGACACCACAATGTTGAAATGTTGTGATTTTTTTAAGGAGCATATCTTATTCATTGTAATCAATTCAGGTGCTGACACTACCAGCTCGACCATCAGAATGACAAACTTCAGAATTCTTTGTGACATTCTCTTAAACTTTCAATACACACATGAACTGCTTTCAGATTTTTTTTGAAAGAAAAGCTGCAAGTCTTTCAGCTTTACATGAAAAACGAAATCCTTGGAACAATTTGAATGTTATACATTATGTGGACATTACAAATACCCTCAACACAAACTTCTGCACACTTATTTTACTGGTTATATGTTTTTCAGAATTTAAATAAAATGCAGTACTTTACCCACTCAACAATCAGATGAGTGGGCTCTGATTTTGGGCCTTCTATGCTGTCCACCAGCGAATGGTTCTCAGGTCTCTGCCAGTCCTGCTCTCAAGTCTCTGCTAGTTCTGCTCTGTAAATAAGATCAGCTCTGCAGCAGAATTACTGCAAAGTAAGTTGCTGTTGACTTTCCTTTCCTGTGGAAACATGACAAGCCTCTGCTTGACACCTTCCCCCTGGCAGCACTGCCAAGCTCATAGTAGGAAACTGCATCCTACTATTCTGTCACAGAATAGTACAGCACTGAAGCAGCAACATACAACTCACCTTTTAAATAACACAGTACTGGAAAGCATATCATGTAACCATTAGACAAATATCCACTGACTCATCGATGGATATTTGTCTAATGGTTACATGATATGCTTTCCATCCACCCCCAAATTATTATCAAATAAATGTATTCCATTAAACAAAAAGATCACAATGGTGCTACTACAATGTTGGCTCACCTCCAATCTCCATGCAATCCCTCACACAGTTACATCGATAAAAGAGCTGGAAACCTACCCAACTTGTCGGGAAAAGGTGCATTACAATTTGCTTGCTCTTACCCTAAAACAATTGGCTGAACTTCACAAGATATTTAAGAAAAACACTGCTAGCCCAATTAAAATGTTAGCAATTAAATAACTATCAAGAGTGACTCTTTTTCTACCCCATTTGCAATACTTTATATTTCTCGTAACTAAAGTGCAGGGATTGAGGAAGAATATTGATAATAGCGATAAAACTAATTACATATGTGTTCTGACTCGTTGTAGCTCATGTGGAAATGAAGGCAGCTTGTATTATAGGTCATTTGCCTTTCTAAAAGTAGCTTAATTCAGGCTAGTCACAAGAAGAAACTTCAGATGAGGACAACACAATTTTTAAACAGGGGTGAGTAATTTTCAGGATTTTCTGCTCTTTCCTCACACTACTCTCCTCAACTGGAAGGGTGGGACTGTTCAGTCTGCAGACATTTCTATCGAGCCTTTTACCATATAATAATGATAATAATCCTTGCGTTTGATATGGCGCTTTTCACGGTCTTATAGATGTCTCAAAGTGCTTCACAGAATATATGTAAAGTGAATTGACTGTATAGTTGTGGGTGAAACGCGGCATCACTCTTAAGGTCATAATTTGTAAAAGTGGATGTCAAACTATTAATGTGAACACACCACAAAGCTGTCCTTTGTCCCAGACAAGGGGAATTCACCTCTACGGGGGTGAGGAGAGGGAGAGACAGAAGGAGAACAAGAACAGGTGTGTTGCTGTAACTCAAAACAAACTTTTTCATGTTGGGTTTCCACTGTTGCAATAACAGGTCACCACCATATCTTTTGTCATTCTATCCATTTATTAAATCACAACCATTTCAATTTTATTCACAAAATGTATCCATTCAAAATATCCACCTAGCAAGCGCAGGTCAAAGGCTGGGTTAATCAAATGAACGATTAAAATGGAAAATTTTCTATGATAAATCTAAAGTATTAGATATAGGGGAGAAACAAATGTGAGGCAGCGGTATACAATGAATGGAATAAAATTAGAGCAGGGCAACTTAGAAAGGAGCTGGGAGCAATAGTAAACATGTCACTTTCAATGTCCAGACAATGTGCTGAAGCAATTTAAAAACACAAAAACAATGCTGGGGTATATAGCCAGAACACAGCCTACAGAAATTACACTAAAGCTTTACGATGCACTGGTCAGATCACACTTAGTGTCAAGTCAATGCTCTTCCCAGATAAACAGATGTAACAGATGTAGCATAAATCTAATTTTACGGACATTGATTCAATTCCAAGCCCTGCAACTGGAACTACCACTTTAAATTGTCTTTTAATCCAGCCAATTTCAGACACGCTTTAAACTTAAATGAAGTTCCTACATGGTCCAATGAGACCACTCTTGATCTTGTTAATGTCGTTATAACAGCAACTGGAACTTATGTAGCATCTTCACATAGGGGTATTAAAAAGCCAATCTAATTTCCAGCTCCTAAAAACTATAACATTTGTTGAAACGTATATTTAGAAAGAAGACTTCTTTATTCAAAAGAATGATGAATTTTTAGAATAATCTGCCAAACAACAAATGGAAAAGCATTGTTTTTATTCAAAGTAAAATTCGAAGCTATGATAGGAGTTAATTTATTTGTGAGATTAGTTCTTCAGTGAGCCAAGAGACTTTTTTTACATCTGTGATTTGTGTTCTTAAATATATACCGAACCTAAGGTGCAATTTTATATTTATATAGAGTCTTTCACATTGGGATGACATCTAAAAGCACATTATACAGTTGACTTGGAGCCTGAATTGAGGGGGGGGGGGGGGGGGGGGTTTGGGGGAAGAGAGTCCAATGAAGAGATAGATCTTAAGGTGGAAAGGAGGGACAAGGCGCAGGAACTCAGGGGCAGAATGCCTACAAGCTTGTCCAACCATGGTGGGGCAGAAGCAGGCCAGTGTGAGCGACCAGGGGGTGATAGGATCACAGAGCGAGGCTTGGGCGAGGCCGTGGAGCTTTGAAAGTGATCGTAAAGTTCGGATTTTTGAATAAATCTGACCATGACATTGGAATTATTAATACTCGCTCGGTGCCCGCTGCGTGTGGGGCACGCTGTCAACACATCATTACTTGCATTGGCAGCGCAACAAAAAAAATCTGACCCGGGACGTAATAAGCTCTCACCATGAAAATCCGCAACAGTAAACATTACAAATAATAAGAAATGCCTGAAGGTGACTTCAAGCTATAATTCGAGGCGACGTTTATAAACTGCATGAGTTTCCCTCTTGCAGTTTAAACCATGTGAACTCTTTGAATTGATTACAGCCTTGTCACTCTCCACAACTGTACAGAGGGCAGACTGCAGTGTTACAGTGGAGTCCTGTAGCTCAGTGGTTAGAGCACTCGCTTTGCAAGCGAGAGACCCGAGTTCAATTCCAGGCAGAGGGCGAAACCTTGGGCAAGTTTCCTTACTCCACACAGAGCCTAATAATAATCCCTCCAAAACAAAAANCAATAATAAATTGGTCCTTTTCAATCTACGACTGTTTGTGGGACATTGCTGTGCGCAATTGGCTGCCGCGTTCGCCCACAAATATACAGTCAATTCACTTTACAGTGTGTTCTGTGAAGCGCTTTGGGCCGTCCTCCCGACGTGAAAAGCGCTATATCAAATGCAAGGATTATTACTATCAGAGACAGACAGACAGACAGAGAGAGTGGGATTGGGTGGGTTGTGTGGCACCAAACCTCACTCCGGGGACACACACGTTCTCTTACTGACACAGACATGATCCAGTTCCACCACATGCCCAACATTAAAGTGCCAGCCATGCCATCCCGCCAGCCATGCTCACCCTGCCACCTCGCCAGCCCTGCCATCCCGCCAGCCATGCTCACCCTGCCATCCCGCCAGCCATGCTCACCCTGCCACCTCGCCAGCCCTGCCATCCCGGCAGCCATGCTCACCCTGCCACCTCGCCAGCCCTGCCATCCCGGCAGCCATGCTCACCCTGCCACCTCGCCAGCCCACCAGCCATGCTCACCCTGCCACCTCGCCAGCCCTGCCATCCCGCCAGCCATGCTCACCCTGCCACCTCGCCAGCCCTGCCATCCGCCAGCCATGCTCACCCTGCCATCCCGGCAGCCATGCTCACCCTGCCACCTCGCCAGCCCTGCCATCCCGGCAGCCATGCTCACCCTGCCACCTCGCCAGCCATGCTCACCCTGCCACCTCGCCAGCCCTGCCATCCCGCCAGCCATGCTCACCCTGCCACCTCGCCAGCCCTGCCATCCCGCCAGCCATGCTCACCCTGCCACCTCACCAGCCCTGCCACCCCGCCAGCCATGCTCACCCGGCCACCCCTGCCACCTCGCCAGCCCTGCCATCCCACCAGCCCTGCCATCCCGCCAGCCATGCTCAACCCGCCAGCCCTGCCACCCCGCCAGCCCTGCCACCTCACCAGCTATGCTCACCCGGCCACCCCACCAGCCCTGCCACCCCACCAGCCCTGCCATCCCACCAGCCATGCTCACCCCGCCAGCCCTGCCACCCCAGAGTCAGTCACAGCAGGGGGGTGGGGGGGGGGGGGGTATAGGCTGCCGCTCCTTTGCTGCAATTGCTCAACAGTGAGTGAGTGAGTGAGTGAATGAGAGTGACAGTGAGCGGCCCCTCCCTCCCGGCCCTGTGAGGCCCCGCGGTGCGGGGCACTGGGCTGCCCGCGGCCCTGTGAGGCCCCGCGGTGCCGGGCACTGGGCTGCCCGCGGCCCTGTGAGGCCCCGCGGTGCCGGGCACTGGGCTGCCCGCGGCCCTGTGAGGCCCCGCGGTGCCGGGCACTGGGCTGCCCGCGGCCCTGTGCCGCCCACCCGCTCGTCGCTGTGTTTTGGGGGAGGATTTCGGCGCCGCGCGGAGGCTGAGCGCGGCCCTGGGCCCGAGGCCTGGGGGTGGGGGTGAGCCCGAGCGGCCCTCAGGCAGACAGACAGCAGCCGAGCTCCGGCCTCTCCCCCCCCCCCCCCCTCTGTGTGTGTGAGAGAGAGGCCGTGAGGGCTGAGTTCAGTGTAGTGACTGTGAAGGTGTACCTGGCGGCCCCGTCAACACCACGTGTCTCTTCATAGCTCCAGCCCTGCGGGGCGCCCCACCGCGCGTGCGCATGACCTCCCCCCCACACACACACACCCCCCCACACATACACACACACCCCCACACACACCCACACACACACACCCACACATACACACACACACCCACACACACCAGATTTGGTTTGGGAACCAAGATGTGCACGTGGTGCAATCCAGAAATCCTCATAATAAATAACAATAATCCCTGCACTTGCTATCCAGGGCGTCTCTTTCACGGTCGAGAGGATAATAATAATAATAATAATAATAATCCTTGCATTTGATATCGGGCTTTTCACGTCGGGAGGATGTCCCAAAGCGCTGCACAGAACACACTGTAAAGTGAATCGACTATATATTTGTGGGCGAACGCGGCAGCCAATTGCGCACAGCGATGTCCCGCAAACAGTCGTGGATTGAAAATGACCAATTTACTATTGTCTTGTTTTGTTAGGGATTATTATTAGGATGTCTCGAAAGTGCTTCGCAAGCGGTTGCTGTGAAGCGCCGCGACTATTTTGCGAGCAGTTAGAGCAGTCAGTTTGCGCACAGGATAGCCAACAGACAGTCAGTCAGTCAGTCAGCCTTACAGGATGTAAGTAAGTAAGTGAGTAAGTGAATGATGTTTTTTTTCTGGGGGGTTGTTTGCCAAGACCCCCAGAGAAACTTCTCTTATTCAATACAATACAAAATTACATTTGCATCACGGCTTTCACGTCGGGAGGACGTCCCAGTTGGGGATTTGGACCCGAGCTGGGGGTCAGCATCGGGGAGGGGAGGGTGGCCGAAGGCGCGGTCGAAGAAGAGGGTTTTGAGATGCACCTTGAAGGAGGCAAGGGAGGGAGCGAGGCGAAGGGAATGTGGGATGGAGTTTCATAGGTTGGGGGCAGAAAGGCTGAAGCCCGACCGCCGAGGGTGGGGCAGGCCGGGCAGGGGATGTAGAGTAGGCCACATAGTGGCTTGGGATCATTAAAGCCCACCTGAATAGACAGAGAAGACCTCAGTTTAATGTTATTCAAGGATAACACCACCAACAATGCAGTCCACTGCCAGCACTATATTTGATTTTTCAACCTAGATTATGTAAGGTCAAAGTCATGAGATGGGACTTGAACTCACAACCTTCTGACTCAGAGGCAAGAGTGCTACCAACTGAGCCAGGTGGGCACACCAATTACAAATTCAATTGCAAATCAGGCACTTTATTTCCAGGACAGTTTCAGGCCATTGTGACTATTAGTAATTTCATTTAAAATTTTATTTTATACATTATTATACACTGAAATATTAGAAAGTGTTACAAAAGCCTTTTGATGCCATCTTAATTAAGTCAGCTAGCCTGGAGCATTTTTTTTTTTGATATTTGGAGGGAGAAATTCTACCTGGGTGTAGATTTACCTGATTTATGCAGCAATTCAGGTCATCAAGAATTTGTCACATCCCTTAATCATATTAAAAGTCCTTTTGTGAACTACAATATACTGGCCTCAAAATTAAGACTGGTTTCAACAATTTGCCAAATTCTAGACTCTCTGAAATGTTAACAAAATTGAAAAACTTCGTGGAATTTCTTCCCTACAACTCACTTACATCAGAAAGATTTGTAGACATGCATTCGTGTCCAAATAATTTTTGATTAACATAAACCTGTGTGTACAGTACATTAGCTTGTGATGCTTTGATGTTGTGCTGTATCTTTTATGCCTCTCAGTATCTTTATATCTACAAAGCCAGTGCTAAAGTTCATGAGCTTCACAGTGCGGCAGAGATTTTTTGTCTGTTTTTAGTTATTGTGAACTTGGCTTGACAGAAGTAGGCCACTTGAAGCTTTTGAAATTCACTTGCATCTAAAGCACATGTAAATTTCTTTTTTCGGATGCTATCCCGGAGACGAGAAAGATGTTTCATTAAAATGACCCAAATAGTTAATTTCCTAGGAATTAAATGCTTATATGTGTTATTATATTATGTTTAATTGTGTAATTATTCTACCTGAATTCATTCACAATTCGTCCATTTTTACACAGAGAGTTGTTACCGTCTGGAATACACTGCTTGAAAGGCTGGTGGAAACAGATTGAATAATCACTTTTAAAAGGGAATTGGATTGGTACTTGTAAAAGAAAAATTTGCAAGGATATGAGGAAAGAGCAGGGGAGTCAGACTGATTGGGTAGCTCTTCCAAAGAGCCGGCACAGGCAGAATGGGCCGAATGGCCTCTTTCCTTGCTGTAATATCCTATGATTCTTTGATTGTGAACCATGGGTTTAGCAGAGAGGGAATGTAAGGCCTGGTTTTGTGGATCCAGACTGAATAAAATCTTTAATAAGGCTCCACGTAAGAGACTCATTTCTATAATCAGGTCATGTGTAGTCATGGGGGAATGGATAGAGAGATGGATAGAAAATAAAGTAGGGGTTTTCTCTTACTCTTGGAGGAAACTTCGCATGGCAAGAAGTAGGAAGTGGTGTTCTGCCGTGATCTGTATTAGGACTGCAATTGTTACCATACACAGCAATGATTTAGGCTCAGATATTAGCAGTATGATGTCAAAATTCTCAGGTAACTATTGTGTCTGAATACCTACTTCAAAAAAATGTTGTAGATGAACACTGCATCCATGATCAATAAACATGATATAGATATCAGGACTATTTGACCTGAATGCTTTGTCTTGTTGGTTCAACACTGGATGAAATTAGTTATCTTCTCTCACCCGCTTCATACCAGTCACAGATTGTGTGTGCCGAGCTGTATCCTTGATGGATTATTTTACCCTATAACTTGAATCGGAGAATAGCATGATGCCGGAGAAAACACCAGGATATATCCTAAATGTGGAATGATTGTCAGTTTTTGTCCTGAATTGTGCACCAGTAAACCTGTCTCCTGTCTCCCATTTCAAGCTTAGCTGACCCGACTGAGCAAAACCATCAAATGAAAGGAAAACACTGAGAGCTTCACATTTCCCCATGGCTCAGTGAGTAAATGAACCATGTGCTGTAGAAATGAGTCTTATGTAGGAATCCCTGATGTTCATAGTGATTTTAACTGCCTATTTATGTGTAACTCCTCATGCTATGGTTTTAAAGAAAAAGAAAAATGTGGAAGGAAGGTTTAGAGAAGTGCATGCACCAGCACACAGCCTGACTGGCTCATGCAGAGTTTTTTTCCCCCTTCAGTTCCTCAATTTTTCTGCTTGTCTTTGAACCAACCCAGGAACTACATATAAGTTGGGTCCCATTTAAAGAGGTGTCTATTAATACATTTGCAAAATTCAAGATGCTGATAGTGGCAAATGTCACTAAAGCAACATCTTATTTCCTATTAGTAAGATGGGAAACAGGTCTATAAAATATTAATCCTCATATTTGGTATAGCGCCTTTCACACTGGGTGGCATCTCAAAGCTCGTCACAGGATATACTGTAAGTGTTCTGACTACAATTGTAGGCAAAGCTAAGATAGCTTTTATTAAGCAAACAAGGTGTTAACAAGCTATTTTGACCCAGAAATCAGATTCAGTTATTCATCAGATACCTTTTATTACATTAAAATCTATTGCGGACCCATGTAAATATCAGATTAAAGAAGACTATAGCTCTGAGGTACAGAACAGAGCAGTGTTCAACGGGAAGAGTGCAAGGAGAAAACAGAAAAGAATACTCCCTTAACATCCAATTCTCAGGCTCCACCAATGATGAAAGTGCAAAGCTGCCTGGTAAGACCAAGCGCTGGACAGCAATAATTTAGCTCTCACAAACCACCCGGAGACTTATAATGTCACTGCATACAGAAATTTAATGATAAACTTATTTTATCAAGCTTATAAATTATTTGATGCTGGCTTTTGCAGTTGACTTCACCCAATTTGACTATAACCATGTGACCACTCCGAGATACGTCATTTTTTAGTTTTTTTACATAATCTCATAGGAAGTTTAACTATTTCAACTAATTTAACTATGACAGTTCAGCTGACTGAACAGCAGCACCTAGAATGACCGATATGATCTTCCGAGGGGTGCGGTGAATAATTATTGCTTTTAATATGGGACTTTTCACGTCTGGAGGATGATTCAAAATGCTTCATAGGATTTTACTGTAAAATGTAGTGAGTGAATGTGGCAGTCAGTATGTGCACAGATGTGAGCAGGCGAGTGCGCAAACACGAGCGCAGACGCGAACAGGCAAAGCACCTGTTTCCAGCAGTACCTGAACACACACTCTGGTGTCCATTCCATTCCAATCCAAAAAAGGGAAATTTACCAGCGTATGTGGAACTCTCAGCCTAGTTTGGATACTCTTAAGGACGATGATGGGTTTCCATATCATACACCTGACTGACCAAAACAAATAGAGTAACAAAATCAAATGATAATAACTGATTATTAGGAGTCACAGACATCACAACTAAATGATTACTTCTCATTGACCACATTGGATAAAATCTTGCAGAATAAAGTTTAACACAGTATTTAATCATAGTATAGTGATGGCAATGTGGAAAACATTTAGACATGTAACTGTATGTTAACACATTGAATGTGTGGTGACAAGGAAAAAAATCTTTCCAATGTATCCTTCCATTGTAAATGATGTACAGCATACACCATGGTAGTGGTCTACAGTATTCCTGCTGGTTCTGACAATTTACATAATAATAAACCCAATAACTGTAACCAGCTGATCAGTTAATTGTTACTTAGGTATGCAATTAAATTTGCTTTGTGGTTTAAAAAGTAATCCTTAATACTTACATTAAGACCTTAATCCTTACATAAAGACTTTATGCAGTATGCTACAATATAGTTATATAATTAAAAAAATTGGTCACTCATTCCATGGCTGTTGGTTCCCTAAAAATCACAATCAGTCCACTTTACAGTATATCCTGTGAAGCACTTTGGGATGTCTCAACAATATGATAAGGTACTATATCAAATGCAAGGATTATTATTATTTTGTGCCTTTCAAGTCAGAAAGACTTCTCAAAAGGGCTTGACTATGCTGGCGGGCATTTGAGCTGGGGGAGGGAGCAGAT